ATATCGAGATTTCTTCATTACATAATTCGAAGAGTTTATGCTTCATGAAGTAACTGGTTAAATCTCTCTTTCTCTTTCTTTTTCTCTTTCTCTTTCTTTTTCTCTTTCTCTTTCTTTCTTTTTCTCTTTCTCTTTCTTTTTCTCTTTCTCTTTCTTTCTTCATCTCTTTCTTTCTTTTTCTCTTTCTCTTTCTTTTTCTCTTTCTCTTTCTTTCTTTTTCTCTTTCTTTCTCATTCCCTTTCCCTTTCTCTCTCTGTCTCTGTCTCTGTCTCTGTCTCCCCCCCCCCCTTTTCTGTCCCTTTCCCTCTTCGTGTGACCTTCTGTTTGGCACTTTGGCGTCGGGGGGGGGGGGGGGGGGGGGGTCATTCGAGGCGACAGTTTTAAAAGGATTTGATTGCGGGCGAGAAAGGGTCCTGTGCCACTGCCCCTTGTTGCATGCAATGGCGTGTTATGTCTGGACGTTGCAGATGCATTGTGCGTGTGTCTCCTTCTCTCTCTTTTTTCTGTTTTTTTTTTCTTTGTTGTTCTTCTTTGTCTTTCTCTCTATCTCTGTCTCTGTCTCAGTCTCTCTTCTTCTTCTTCTTCTTCTTCTTCCTTCTCCTTCTCCTCCCCCGCCTTCTTTCTTCTTCCTCCCTTCTCCTCCTCTTCTTTTTTCCTCTTCTCCTCCTTCTTTCTACTTCTTCCCTCTCTTCTTCCTCCTCCTCCTCTCTACCAAAAGCTATTGAAATTCTCTTGTGTCCTTGTTTTCATTATTATTACTATTATCATCGCATTCATAGAAAAAATGGGAGGAGGGGGGGGAGGAGGAAGGAGGGGAAAGGACGGGGTAGAGGGTAGGGGTGAAGGAGGGGGAGGAGGTAGGGAGGGAGGGGGGAGAAAGGGAGATTGAAGTTGATAGAGGGGGGAGAGGGAGGAGGTAGGGAGGGAGGGGGGAGGGGGGAGAAAGGGAGATTGAGGTTGATGGAGGGGGGTAGGGGGAGGAGGAGGGGGTTAGTGTCCTTCGTGTATGCCGTCGACCTCCAACATCACCAGAGGGAGGGAGAGGAGGAGTGAGGAAGAGGATGGGGAGGGAGGGAGGGAGGGAGAGAGGGAGGAGAATGAGAGAGAGAGAGGGGGGGGGGGAGGGAGGGGGAGCGTCAGAGTGCCAACGGTTTTTAAGGCGATGAAGTAACCTCTCACAGCTGGAGTAGTTTTATTATTATTGTTCAGGTCCTTGTGATTCGATGATTTTCTTTTTCCTGATTTCATAGGTCTTCTTCCCTCTCTTTTCCTTTATCTACCCTCTACTTCGCCCCTTCTCTCTCTCTCTCTCTCTCTCTCTCTCTCTCTCTCTCTCTCTCTCTCTCCTTCTCTCCATTTTCTCCTCTCCCTTTTCCCTTTACCTCCCCACTGTTAAAATAATAATAATAACAATAATAATGATATTAATAAAAAAAAAAAAAAAAAAAAACGCACAGGGACACAGCCCTTTTCGTCCCTGAAACACAATAAAAAAAACTCAAAAATTCTCTTATATAAAGGCAGAGGGGAGAAGAGGGGGGGGAGAGAAAGAGGGGAGAATGGGGAGGGAGGAAGGAGGAAGGAGGAAGGAGGGAGAGAGGGGGGAGGGGGAGGGAGATGGAAAGGGAAGGAGAGAGAGAAAGAGAGAGAGAGAGAGAGAGAGAGAGAGAGAGAGAGAGAGACTGAAAAAGAATCATAAAAAATTCACCGCCCACGCCCACGCCTCACGTAGCTTGCGAAACGGGCGTGGAGACGAGTTGGATCGGAGCTTCGTGGAGACCGATTCTAAAAGGGAGAGATAAAAAGGGGATTATTATTACTATGGAGGAAGGAAGGGAGGAGAGAAAGAAGAGAATGAAGGAAGTATTTGTTCTTTTTTCTCTTCTTTCTTTTTCTCCTCTTCCTCCTTTTCTCCTCTTTCTCCTGTTTTTCTTTTCTCTTTCTCCTCTTCCTCCTTTTTTCTCTTCTCTTTTTTTTCCTCTTCCTCCTTTTCTCCTCTTTCTCCTGTTTTTCTTTTCTCTTTCTCCTCTTCCTCATTTTTTTCTCTTCTCTTTTTTTCCTCTTCCTCCTTTTCTCCTCTTTCTCCTGTTTTTCTTTTCTCTTTCTCCTCTTCCTCCTTTTCTCCTCTCTTTCCTTTTCTCCTCCCTCCCTTCCCTCTAACCCTTCCCCACCTTCCCTCCCTCTATCCCTCTCCTCTCTCCCTCCCTTCCTCCCTCCCTCTATCCCTCCCTCCCTCCCTCCCCTCCCTCTATTCCTCCCTCCCTCCCCTCCCTCCCTCCCTCCCTCCCTCTATTCCTCCCTCCCTTCCCTCCCATCCCTCCCTCCCCTCCCTCCTTCCCCCTCCCCTCCCTCCCCCTCCCTCCCCTCCCCCCTTTCCCTCCCTCCCAGCTAATGCCATTCGAAAGCAGCTGCACGCTGATAAAGTCTCTCGCATTGACGTTCAGAGCCGTAAACCCAGAATGGAGGAGGGAACGAGATGACGTGTTTTTTGTCTTCTGTCTCTGCTTTTGTGCTTGCCGAGGGAGGGGGGGGGGCTTGTGGCGTGTTTTATGGGGGGGGGGGTT